TTGATGCCCGTGTCCGTCCTGAGCTCACTGCCTCAACCTAGGGCCAGGTCCCCCTGGGGCCTCTCCAGGCCTTGCCATTGCGCCCTGTTGCTTCCTGAGACAGCGTCCTAGGGAGGGTCCAGCTGGTGCTTCTTCCTCCCGCCCAGGTGTGGGCAGCTGCACTGTCACAGGGAGGGAAGGTACAGGCACCGGTGTAGACGCAGACCCGCCTGCCCGCGGGTGGCACTGGTGTAGCCAACACCGAGAAGGTGTTGGCTCTGCTGCAGTGTGTCCTGGCCTGGGGCAGAGGGCGAGGGGCTTCTTGCCGCGAGAGGCCCCAGGAGCGCCGTGTGACCCCCCCAGGAGCAGCAGGAGTGGGACGAGCTGTACCGCAGGTTCACCGCGGCTGTCCTGGAGGGCAGCAGAAGGCCGGCTTCAAGAACCTGGTCCTGGAGCGCAAGCTGCAGGCGCTGAGCACCGCCGTGGAGAGGAAGGAGGTGCTGGTGGCCTCCAGCCTGGACCCCATGGCCCTGACGCTCGTGTCCCGCAAGCTGGAGGTAGGCCGCACGCGGCTCGGCTCCTGGGGAGGGCTGGGCCGCGCCCCATGCTGCTGCCCCCAGCATGTGGTCTGGGCTCTGGTTGGGGGCCCCTTGTCTCGCTTCTGTGGTCATTGTGCAGACCCTCAGCCACGCGGAGCGTCTCCCAGGCCTGGGCTACCAGGTCCCCGCCCTCTCACTGGCTTTGCTCCCTTCTGAGGTCACCCTGGCCCCTTCTTCACGTGTGAGTCAGCTCAGCCGTCAGGCCCTGCGTCTCAAGCCATTCTTGAACCTCTGGGCCCAATCTTGGGCTTCTGGAGGCCGACAGACACAGGCCTAGGGACAGCTGAGTCTCCTGTACTCAGCGAGGCCACTGCCAGCAACCCCCTGGACACTACGATGGCCTGCTCTGCGTGGACGGTCAGGACGAGGAAGCCCAGGCCTTTGTGGGAGTGTCGGGGATGGCTGCCCAGTGGGGTCAGGTCTGGGCAGAGGCTAGAGCCTTCGTTCACTACAGTCCAGTTCTTTGGGGCACTCCTCGGTGCTAGGACTGTTCTGGGCACAGGGGACAGCAGTAAACAAGACAGATGAGGCCTCAGCGCCCAGAGGTGGCTGGGTCAGCTGATACACCAGTACCGTGGCCGCTGCTGGATCCACTATTTCTGTGTGAACCACCGTGAGCACAGCGCTGGCCGCTGGGGGACCTTCTTGCCTCTGATCCTGGGAAGGACAGTTGGTCCTGTGGCTGGATGAGGCCTTGTGCTGCCAGTGAGTGGCATGGGGGATGAACAGCCCTGCCCTGGGGCCTTGCAGCAGCACCGTGGGCCAGGGTGGCCGTGCGTCAGCTCTCGCCTTCCCTGGTCAGTTACCCGGCTTTGTGGGCAGGAACCCTGTGCCAGAGCGACTCCCAGGCGGCAGGTGGGGGTGTGAGGGCCCCCCCCCGGGCCACAGTGGCAGTGGCGGTGGCTCCAGAACCAGCCAGGCCCGCCCGTCTCATCTCTTACCACCCAGGCGGAGTTCTCGTGGAGAGGCAGGTCCTGTGTCATCTCTCCCTGGAGACCTCCCCGCCGGCTTCTCCCATGTGGGTGTCTACCTCAGTGGGGCCAGGCTGTTCTTCCCTGCACATCTGGGGTACCAGCTGGAGCCCCAGACCCCAGGTTACCCTGTCTGCCTCGGCCCAAAGACGAGTCTCAAAATCACATCTGCCTCTCTCCGCAGGACGTTTTGGAGTCAAAGAACAGCGCCATCAAGGACTTACAGTACGAGCTGGCCCGAGTCTGCAAGGTACGGGACCCCCCGTGCTCAGGGCCGCGCCCCTGTCCTGGTGTCCCTCACAGGGCCTGGCGGTGCACGCTGGTCAGCCAGGGCTGTCTGTCCTGTCCAGCAGCTCTGACTCTTACCCTCACACCGTAGCACTGACCTGGCCTCCTGTGCTCCCCCAGACTCAGGCCACTGTCCCCAGCAAGGGACAGTTAGGGTCTAAGATTTTCCAACCCCTTCATAAGTCTAACGAAAGCTGCACACCCTCCCCATGCCCACGACACACCTGGGCGTGGGCCTCCTGCAGTTGGAGGGCCGTGAATGCCTTGACCCCGTCCCTGCCCTGAGTTGGTGAGGGCTGGGCCCTGCACCCAGTGTCCCCACCGCTCTGGGCCTTGCCTGTGGGGATGCAGACAGCACTGCCCGAGGACGCATTCACAGCAGTAGTACCCCGCGGGACTT